AAGAGCTGAGGAACTGGTTTTCTTGGGGGGGGGTTTCCTGTGTCCCCCCCCCACACCCCCACCCTCTCTTTGCTTCGCAGTGTGACGGAGGGCATCAACAAGGAGGTCCTGGGCATCCTGGTCTCCTACAGGGTCAAAGTGAAGCTGGTGGTCTCCCGGGGAGGGTAAGTCGTGGGGGGTGGGGCGCTGGTCTTGCCCCTTGTGCCTTGTGCCCAGTGACCGAAGGCCGCTTCTCTCCCTGCCAGGGACGTGGCGGTAGAGCTGCCCTTCGTCCTGATGCACGCGAAGCCCCCCGAGCAGCCCTCCACGATGCAGCCCCCAGCAGGTGAGGCCCCGCTCCCTCCCCTTCCCCCACAGGGGCCGGCTCCCTGCAATAGCTTCACCCTCCCCTCTTGCCCCTCCCTAGATGAGCCAGAATCGGACGCGCCGATTGATGCCAACCTGATCGAGTTTGAACCAAAGTAAGAGGCGTGGGGGGGGCAGGGAGTCTCTTGCGGGAGCGACCCCTTGTGGGGGAGGGGGGAGCAGAGAGAATGGGGCAGCTGCGACCCCTAGAATCAGAGCAGCCTTCTGGCCACCCCCTTTGCTTGAGCAGAGGCCGCCTTCGTTCGCAGCCGGGGCGGATGGTGGTCTCCCTACTGGGGGCTTTTGGCAGAACAGGCCCCCTCCTCTGCCAACGGTCCTTCCGTTCCTGCTTCATCGTTCCCCCGCTCCCCCCCCAGCTCTTCCGTAAAGGACATTTCCAGAACCAAACAGCCCCCTTGTTCAGGGCCTCCGAGGCTCCCATCTTCCCACCGAGAGGAAGTAAAGGTGGCTGGAGCAGCTTCCTCAGCCCCCGAGGGGCTCCCGGGGGTCCAACCTGTAGGGGGGCTTTGCAGGGGGACGACCCAGCCAAAGAAAGTCCCGGAAGGATCCAGGGTTTTGCCCCATCCGGAGCCATTCCCCGTCCGGGAGCCCAGCAGATGCACCTGGATACGCCTGCAGAATGTGTGGGCCTCGAACCCCTTCGGTGGAGATGCAGAGGGGGGGGGAGCTAAGCCCCTTTGCAGAAGTGCATCTCATCTGCCCCCCCCCCTCCTGATCCCCTGAGGCTCCGGTTGTGGGGGAGAANAGCCAGGAGAGGGGTCTCGAGCATCCTGGTCCATGGGGAGCAGGGCTGGCCCCTTCCGGCTCCCCTTTGCTTCTAACTCAGCCTCCCTCCTGTCCAGTGTTTGTGACGCTGACCTGTGCCTTCCGCTATGGCCGTGAGGATCTGGATGTCCTGGGCCTCTCCTTCCGCAAGGACCTCTTCCTGGCCTCCTGGCAGGCCTTCCCCCCGGCCGAGAGCACCCCGGAGCCCCTCACCCGCCTGCAGGAGAGGCTGCTGCGCAAACTGGGTGCCAACGCCCACCCCTTCAGCTTCATGGTAAGCCAGCCGGTCCCTGCAGCCCCTCCCCTCCCCAGAGAGGGCTCTTTGTCCCAGGCGGAGCGATGGTGAAGACCCTCCAACACCCCTCCCGCCTCTTCCACAGATCCCCCAGAACCTGCCGTGTTCAGTGACGCTGCAGCCGGGCCCCGAGGACACGGGAAAGGTGGGTCTTTTGGGGGGGGGGGCACCAGAGGGGTGATTCCGGTGGGAGGAAGTGCGGGGGGGTGGGGGGTGATAGCGTTGGCAGTCCCGGCCCTGAGACCGTCCCTTTCCCTCCCTCGCAGGCCTGTGGCGTGGACTTTGAGATCCGGGCATTTTGTGCCAAAAACCTGGAGGAGAAGATTCACAAAAGGTGGGTGAGCAGCCAGTCCCGGGGGGCTTTTAAAACAAGGCTGCCATCCCGGCTTGGCATAGGTTGCACATCTCCCGGCGTCTCCCTGCCCCCGTGGGAAGCTGCCCCCCAGGATCGGGGCTCGGTCCCCTGCCCTCCTCCCCCGGCTGACTGCCTCCTCCTGCTGGGCCCCCTCCCAGGAACTCCGTCCGCCTGGTTATCCGGAAAGTCCAGTACGCCCCCGAGAAGCCTGGGCCGCAGCCCATGGCCGAGACCACCCGCCACTTCCTGATGTCCGACCGCTCCTTACACCTGGAAGCTTCCCTCGACAAGGAGGTGAGGGCCGCGTGGGAGACCCTGGCAGAGGGGAGGGGAAGACCTTTGCACCCGGCTGGAAAAACTGACACTCCTCAGGAAGCGAGGCGGCTTCGGCCGCTGTCTGCAACTTCCCAGGTTTCGTAATAAGTCCGTAACTTGGGGAACTGCGAAGAAAGTGGCTTCTTCTGCCTCTGGAAAAGGCCATTTTAAAAAACCTACAGGTTGAATAAACGAGGTAGAAGGCAGCCAGTTTGGACGGGGAACTGGAAAGCCCACACTTGGTGGGTCATCAGCCACGCGCTGCTACCGTCCACAAGCCGATTTTCACAAAGCCTCCCGCTGTGTCCGCAAGGACTTAAAACGCCGTGGAGCTGGAAGCGTTTCCCCATTTGTCTGTCCGGGAGAGTTTCTGCGGGTGTTTAAACTCCTCCAGGCCCGGTCAGAAAGCAGGCTGCGAGTTTCCCCCAGGCCCTTGTTCTCCCCCAGCCGAGCAGCCCCCTCCCTCCCGAGAGCTGGTGGGCCTGGCTGGGGAGGGGCCGGGGGGGGGCTGGCGTGCAGGAGGGGGAGGCTGACACGTCTGCCTCTTTTCCTTCCCCGAATAGCTTTATTATCACGGGGAGCCCATCAGCGTCAACGTTCACGTGACCAACAACTCCAGTAAAAGCGTCAAGAAAGTCAAAGTGGCCGGTAGGGAGGGGTCCCGCGGGACGGAAGCCTGACTTGGGAGAAGGGGGGGGGCTCATCGCTGTGGTGGTCCTCTCGTATGGTCCGGAACAGAGCGAGGGGTGGTGGTGAAGGAGGCTGAGGGTCCTGCCTTCCTCCAGCCCCTGTTGGGTGATGTGGGGGGGGATTCCTTGGCCCCTCCCTGTGTTAAGCAGAGGGGGGGGGTCTCCCCAAGTGACCTGCCTTCCCTTCTGGCAGTGCGGCAGTACGCAGACATCTGCCTCTTCAGCACCGCCCAGTACAAGTGTCCAGTGGCCCAGGTTGAGCAGGAGTGAGTATCCCCCTCTCCCTCCCTCCCTCCCTCCCAGAGCCTCACTGGGGGGGTCTCTCTGAGAAACCTTTGGGGTGATGGGAGTCCACGTTTCCCCACTTGGGTCCAGAGTCTCCCGTGGGGGCTGAGGGTGGGGGGGCCTGACCTGCCTTGCGTGTCCCCCCCCGGCAGAGACCAGGTGGCTCCCAGCTCCACCTTCTGCAAGGTTTACACGCTGACCCCACTGCTGACCAACAACCAGGAGAAGCGGGGCCTGGCGCTGGACGGGAAGCTGAAGCACGAGGACACCAACCTAGCCTCCTCCACCATGTGAGCCGTTTGGGCCCGGGGAGGGGGGGGTGATGGGGGGGGCTGCTTTGCCGTGCAGGCTCTGGCTTTCGGGGGGAGCTTCTGTGTCCCCCCCCCACACCCCCACCCTCTCTTTGCTTCGCA